AACAGAAGAGCTTTGCTAAGAAGCCTTGAGGCCAGATGGGAAATATGTTTAAACCAGAAGATAAAAGAGGTGAATACATGTATAGTTCAAATTAGGTTTAGCTGCATATTGAGCAGCATACAGACTAAAGTGTATTGAGGACAGAACAAGCGATGAGGGACAAAAATGTGGGTTGTTGTTGTTGTTGTTGTTGTTGTTGTTGTTATTATTATTATTAATTTAATTTGTATACCGCCCTTCTCCTAAAGAGACTCAGGGCGGTGAACAGCCAAAATTAAAATACATACAATACAAAAGTTAAGATAATTAAAAGAGATTAAATCAATCGACCTCTCAATTTAAAACTCCAAGTCTATAAAATTTAAAAATCCCATTAAAAACCATTTAGGCTAGGCCGGCTTGCTGGAATAAATAAGTCTTCAGGGCCTTACAGAAGGTCCAGAGGTCCGGGATCAGTCGTATTCCAGGAGGTAGCTCATTCCACAGGGCGGGTGTCCCCACAGAGAAGGCTCTTCCCCTGGTTGTTTGCACTGAGTGCAAACTTAATTAGTTTGCACTTAAAATTAATTAGTGTGAAATGTTCAAACAATGAAAACGTAGCTCTCGTTTGAAATCTGCACTTTTCCAAATTCTAGCACAGTCTGCCCTTTGATGATAGTCCTATTTATGTAAAAAGGGCATATGTTCTTGAAGATAATACATTGTATGCAAGGAAAGTATTGACCCTCCCATGCTCCCTCACACCCCTGGGCATGCACATGCGACCCCCGTACTCCCCCCAACCCTCCGCGTCTGCACACATGACCCCCCTGCCCCCTGTTTTGGGCCTAGTAGGCCACTCTGCAGCCTCCTGGGCCCAAAAATGGGCACGCCACACACCCCGTGCTCCCCCTGCTCCCCCACGCATGCGTCTGTGACCCCCTGCGCATGCATGCGTGTCTCCCACATGTGCCCTGTCCCCCCCCCGTGCATCCCAAAAAACAGCTGGCTAGTGGGCGGCACACGCATATGCATGGTGGAGCTGAGCTGGGTGATGGCAAGTATGCCCTCAGAAAGGGCTCTGCATGCCAGCTGTGGCACATGTGCCATACATTCGCCATCATGGAACTATAGCAACTTTATGACCTGTGGACTTCAACTCCCAGAATTCCTGAGTCTGCCATGTCCAGGAAGCCAGGAATTCTGGGAGTTTTTTTTTTTTTTTAATTTGATTTATATGCCGCCCTTCTCCGAAGACTCAGGGCGGCTTACAATGTGCTCAGCAATAGCCTTCATCCTTTTGTATATATTTATACAAAGTCAGCTTATTGCCCCCACAACTGGGGGGCATAGGTCGTAAAGTTGTCATAGTTCCCCTCTGCTGAGTTAGATGAATATTGTATGTTGTTCCTAGTAATCCTCCTTCTTTATGACACGAAACCTCAGATTTTCCTTAAGTGTCTACGGAAATGTGAACATCGTCCTTGTGCCGATTCCCTTGCTGTCAGTCTTCCTTATGTTTCCCCCACTCCTCAAATGCTTCCCTTCTCAAGCACAGCCTGAGTGTTTCCCCGCAACGGCGGAGAAGAATTTCAAGTATGTCGTGTTTGCCGGCCAGTAAAATTCAAGCTGGACAATTTCCAAGCACCTCTGGAACAATAAATAGAGGCATTATGAATTCACGTTATTATAATAAGGGGATTGGAAGTGGGGAATTTCTGATCTTACAACTGATGGCCTGTCCTTCTCTTGGCAAAACGCGGTCTTCTTGGGAAGGATAACCTACTTTGCACGTTCAAAAGCCAACAAATAGAGGTGAAAAGTTCATGGAAAGGTGCAAGTAAGAAAAAAAAATGAGAAAGCTTAGGTTCTTTTTAGGGGAAAAACAGTGAATTGTGGGAAATGAATGGAGCCGTATGAAATTAGACACAGCCCGGAGAAAGTGGGCAAGGAGAAAGTTTTCATCTCCCCGAACACTAGAACCAGTGAATCTGACTAAATAGCTTGTTTCCCCCAAAATAAGACATCCCCTGATAATAAACCCAATCGGGCTTTTGAGTGTATGGCAATAAGGCCAAGAGCTTATTTCAAGGTTCAAAAAAAATATAAGACAGGGTCTTATTTTCGGGGAAACACGGTATTAATGTTGAGAAGATTACACAACCCGTGACCTATCAGATCATCATTTCGCAGGTATTTCCTTACCTAAACAGAAAAGCAGAATGACCAAAAAAAAAACCAGTCGGATTAGAAGCGATGTCTGATTTCCTGCTGGCTTCCCCATTGACCTTCTTTGTGGGAATATAGTAGAGAGCATCAGGAAACTAACTAACTTCTTTCCTTCCTTCCTCCCCTCCCCTCCCTTCCCCTGCCCTACCCTCCCATTCCATTCCCTTCCCAAGTGGCTGCTGCTGGGTGGGAAAGGAGCAAGGGATTGTGAGATTGGCTGGGAAACTGTCACAGAACTTTGAAAATGGAGATCATGAGCAGCCACAGTAATCCCTGAAGCAGCCACAATTCCCCAAATTTCATTACCTCCGGAGTCACGGGTCCCCGGTTTTGTGCACATCCTATAGGTTAGACCACTTGAGGTACCTTGGTTCAAAAATTATTGCTCTTTGATGTACCATTTTGCCCAGTTGAAGGTCACAAAAGAATTTGGCAGTATATAGATAAAAGGAGGCACTTCTTCGCAAAATGCATCACTAAATGGTATCATGCATTCCCACAAGATCTGGTGATGATGGCCACTAATTTGGTTGCCTTTGAAAGAGTTTTGGACAAATGAAGACAAAGTGATAGAGCAGGGATCCCCAAACCAGTACCAGTCTGTCATCCGTTGGGAACCAGGCAGGGGTGGGATTCAGAAATTTTAGCAATCGGTTCTCTGACCGGTTGCTGGATGGGTGTGGCCATGGTAGGCGTGGCCTAATCAGCCTCCTGTGCCACCGGGGGGGGGGTTTGCCCTCCCAGACTCCGGAGGCTTTCCTCAAGCTTCCAGGAGGGTGAAAACGGCCTCCCCTGGCTAGGGAGCCCCTCCGGAGGCTGGAAACAGGCCTGTTTGCGGAATTCCAGTACTTTCTGTAGGCCTGTTTTTCACCGTCCCCAGGCTCCAGAGGCTTTCCTAGCACCTCTGGGAAGGTGAAAATGGCCTCCCCCGGGCTCTGGAGGCCCTCCAGAGGCCAGAAATGAGCCCATTTCCAGACTTCCGGAACTTCCGGTAGGCCCATTTTTCACCCTCCCAGATCCACCACGCGGGCCCTGGACTTACCTGGCATCCAAAACGGGCTGCGTGGAGACTCCTGGGCGGGGCGGGGTAGGCGGGGTCAGTCAGTCCTTGCAACAACCAGTTCGGCGAACCAGATTAAAATTAACATCCGGTTCACCCAAACCGGTCCGAACCAGCTGAATCCCACCATAGCCTGGACCAGGCTATGCGAGAGGCAGGTGAGCACACAAAGTTCCACTTGGGCATGTGTGGGATTGGGTTGTGTGTGCAGAACTATCCCCTCCCTCTCCTGCCGCTGCCACCACTACCCATGGCTGCTGTCTCTGCCGATCTATAGAACCGGAAAGGTTGGGGACCTTTGTTATAGTGGGCTACCTACCTTGAAGACCCAATGTCACCTCTAGGTTGTCTAGATCGGTCTTGCTTTGATCTAGCCGGGTTGTTCTTATCTCCTCAACTTTTCTCACAAGAAGAAAATGAGGAAGCAAACCAGGACACACAACAAGAAACAGACGAGGTGTTAAACACGTGCTGTATTTGAACATCCTTACAAAATGAGTAGAATTACAATGCATGTTTCCATTTCTAGCGAAGGTTTATAAATATTTACAAGAAGATCCTATGTAGGCCGAGGTGTCTTCGACCGTTTGTGTCACGTTTCAAAGCAGGAGAGCTTCAGGGGAACCGCTCAATACATTTCTAAATGCTTAGAAATAAAAGAAAAAGATTTCATAAAATACAGAGAGGCGGACTGTGGGTATTAAAGTGTTCCACTCTAAGGGTGTTAAGAATGTCCCGTTCTAATGCAGTACAGGTAGTCCTTGACTTACAACAGCTCATTTAGTGATTGTTCGAAGTTGCAATGGCACTGAAAAAAGTGACTTATTACCGTTTTTTTACACTTATAACAGCATCCCCATTTGACCATGTGATCAAATATGTGTTTCAATACTGTATTGGATTTATTGCTAACATGACCTTTGAAGAAAGCTAATGCACATCAGTGGTGAGTTTCAAATTTTTTTACTACCGGTTCTGTGGGTGTGGCTTGGTGGGTGTGGCATGGCTTCATGGGCATGGCAAGGGAAGGGTACTGTAAAATCTCCATTCCCACCCCAATCCAGAGGAAGGTTACCGCAAAATCCCCATTTCCTCCCGATCAGCTGGGGCTTGGGAGGCAGAGAATAGATGGGGGCGGGGCCAGTCAGAATTTTTACTCCCGGTTCTCCGAACTACTCAAAATTTCCACTACTGGTTCTCTAGAACTGGTCAGAACCTGCTGAAACCCACCTCTGATGCACATCCAGAGCTCATATTTTGATAGGCCCTTAAAAAAGAAAGCAGAGAAAGTAATGGCACTCTACCTTAAGATATGTATTCAGGGTTCACTCAATTTGGTCAAAGGTTTGTATTTTGTTGACCACTTCTTTTAAAAGAGTACCAGCCTAAGTTCCTCTTCTCTTTTGCTTTTCAAGCACTTTTGGCATCCCATTTCTACCTCTCATTGATTCTTATTGGGAATTGAAGAATGGAGGAGGGGGGGGAGGAGGACTGTGGGAAATCACCAACCACAGAGGAAGGGGAAATGGTGAGAGGAGAAGGAGGAGGAGGAGAAGGAGAAGCACCACTGTGGAAAATCTCCAACCACAGAGGAAGGAGAAATGGTGAGAGGAGGAGGAGGAGGAGGAGGAGGAGGGAGGAGAGGAGGAGAGAGGAGGAGGAGAAGGAGAAGCACCACTGTGGAAAATCTCCAACCACGGAGGAAGGAGAAATGGTGAGAGGAGGAGAGGAGGAGGGGGAGGAGGAGGAGGAGGAGGAGGAGGAGGAGGAGGAGGAGAAGGAGAAGGAGAAGGAGAAGGAGAAGGACCACTGTGGAAAATCTCCAACCACAGAGGAAGTGGGAATGGTGAAAAGTGTGTCATGACATCCCAAAGTAAATTAATGCCTTATATACTAATAACTGATGATAAAACACACATCCAGAAGCGCAGAGCTTGCACTGTGATGTCACAATCCTCTATTTGCTATTTTGGCATCACTGGATTTAAGAACAGATGCCTGTGTCTCTGTCCAGTTATCTTCCTATCAGACTTAGCCAATCCTGCGCTACATGAATGATGTAAGAGCCAGCCAATCAGCATCCCCTTTGGCGAATGACGGCCCATCCTAAAAGAGGGTGCAAAAGGGAGATACAGATACTTTGCTTCAGCCCCAACCCTTTTACCTCAAGCTATTGCTTATCCTAAGGCGCAAACTATGCAGAAATCCAGGATCTGTGTCATGGCATGGACACTGTGCTTATTGCCAAACACTAACCTGGTTGAGCTCTTGGTCAACTCCTGCACCCTGGCATTTCTAAAAACAGAACTGTGCCCACAGAACAGTTAAGCGTATGCTTTCCACCATGCCTCTCCCTTTCCCTGCCCCTCCCCAGCAAGCCGCTGAAGCCCCTCTGGGACATCAATTGGCTCTATCCATCTCTACACTGTTGGTAGTTCCCCGTGATCCAGAAACAAATCTGTGCGTATTTGAGGGGTGTGATACGAACAGCTACGTTGAAATCCTGGGGGGATCCATTGGTATCCACCCACTGGTGCCCAGAGAATATCCCTATAATTTTACGCTCCCATTTGTGATTCTGTCTCTTCCACATCCTCACGTAAACTCCAGAACCGCTGGCCCCAGGCTGGGCGTCGCACTGCTGATACAAGAGATCGTAAGTTTCATCTTTGACGTCGCAGAACCGGTAAACCAAGTTTCCAGGCCGATCATTGTCATAGCCCGAGAAGTGAATCCTTCCTTTGGGCAGCTGACGTGCTGCTGGGCTCACTCCGATCTTCATGAACTTTCGCTTATGGGGTTTCTTGAGCTCCAGCAGGGCGTAGTCATAATCCATGCCAATGTCGTTAGCGTTCCCTTTGATCCATCCTTTAGGAACGTGTGTCCGTTTCACCCGAATCCACTGGAACTTCATTTTCTCGGGCTCAGGGATGCTACTGTTGTTGGTCCTTTTGACGCCATCTTTCGGCTTGGGTCTCAGGAACCCAACCCGTAGCTTCTTGGCTCCCTTGACGTAACTCTTCCCATCGTGGATACAATGAGCAGCCGTCAAGACGTGTTTTTCAGCCACTAACGTTCCGGTGCATCCCGTGGACAACTTCACGGAAGTAGAAAATGGGTAATTCAGCAAGAAGTCCTTGCCAAAAATACTAAATCTGGTGTCATAGCCGTAGATTTGTCTCTTTGTCCGCGATCGGCTCCGTTCCCCTGTGCTGGTCCTGCTAACAATGTAGATGCCAATCTCGGTTTCGGTGCGGGATCCATTGGAGTACAGCGTCTCATAGGACAAATAATCTTTCGCTTCTTCGTACGTTGGGAGTGGGGAGCGTTTGTGACAAGATGGGCCACATGGGGAGACCACTTCCAGGTGGGCTTCTGCATCGAAGTGTGGTTTGTCCAAAGGGATTGTTAACTGGGGTAGAACGACGGGCACCTTGTAGGTTGGCCAAGTTGGCTTCCCATGAGGATGTGAGGGCACAACTCCTTTTACTATCCATAGGAGTAGGAGAAAACCTGGCAATGCCACCATGATGAGCAAGGATCTGGAGAAAAAGAAGAAAAGTCTTACAATTAATGAATAAAGAATTAACAACTATTCTACTTCGGTCCTGAAGAAATAAAATTTGGGGGGATCAGCAACAGAATAGATCCGTACTGGTTTTCCACTTCAGTTATTACAACCTGGAGCTATGATTTAATAGAATAGAATTCTTTATTGGCCAAATGTGATTGGACACACAAGGAATTTGTCTTTGGTGCATATGCTTTCAGTGTATATAAAGAAAAAAATAAAATATATTCATCAAGAATCATAAGGTACAACACTTAGTGATATGACTATCACTAAGATACTAATAAGCAATCAAATCATACTAGGAAACAAATAAAACAATATAAATTGTAAAGATACAAGTAACATGGATATAGCCATAAGTGGGAAGAGATAGGTACTAGTAAAGATGAGAAGAAGAATAGTAATACAGACTTAGTAGTTAATTTGATAGTGTTGTGGGAATTAGTTGTTTAGCAGAGTGATGGCATGCGGGAAAAAACTGTTCTTATGTCTAGTTGTTCTGATGTGCAGAGCCCTATAGCGTCGTTTTGAGGGTAGGAGTTGAAACAGTTTATGTGAGGGGTCTGTAGATATTTTCACAGCCTTCTTTTTGACTCGTGCAGTATACAGGTCCCCAATGGAAGGCAGGTTGGTAGCCATGTTTCTTTTCTGCAGTTCTAATTATCCGTTGAAGTCTGTGTCTGTCTTGTTGGGTTGCAGAGCCAAACCAGACAGTTACAGATGTGCAGATGACAGACTCAATAATTCCTCTGTAGAGCTGATGAATTATTTTATTTTATTTTATTTATTTATTTTATTGGATTTCTATACCGCCCTACTCCCGAAGGACTCAGGGCGGTGAACAGCCACAGAATAAAACACATAAATACAAAAGTTTAAAATAGAATAAAAACGAATTAAATAATTTGGCTGAGACAAATTTAAAATGCCCAATAATTTAAAAACAAATTAAAATTTGCATTTAAAAGGGGAGAAGATTTAGGCCAGGCCAGCTTGATGAAATAAGAAAGTCTTGAGCGCGCGACGGAAGGTGCGCAGATCCGGGATCCTCCGTATCTCCGGGGGGAGCTCGTTCCAGGTCATAGGTGCCCCCACAGAGAAGGCTCTCCCCCTAGGGGCCGCCAGTCGACATTAATGAATAATGAACTAATAATAATAATGAATAATAATGAATAATGAACTAATGAAGGTAGAGACTTTAAATTCAAGGGCCTGAGGAAGAGAGGATCAAACTCATAATGGATAATCGCTTAAATAGGAGGCAGCAGTGTGCTGCATCTCTCAAAGAAGCCAATGCAGTCTCAGGCTGCATCGACAGAGGGGTAGTAAACAATGGATTTGCTTAATGATTACACTGCCTGCTTAACAACCATGGTGTTCACTTTATAACTACAGTCTTTGCTTAACAACTGCTGCAAAAAAAAGATCCTAAAATCAGGCATGTGAAGACCTGCTTAACAACCATCACAACTTACAACGGAAACGGTAGACTCGTGTGTCCCTTCCTTCCAGATGCCTCCTACATCAGCTATTAACTAAAAGAGTCAGAAACAATTCGAAACAATCCTCTGCAAATGTGTGTGTAGCTTACACACTGCGGATCAGGGCATAGCACATTCCAATTCCACCCCACACAGACAAACACACACTCACATACACACTCCCAAGCCACAAAATAGGCTGTAATCAAAGCGAAATTCGAAACTGTAAACCTTTTGGACAAAGCCGTGTTATTTCAGCAGATAAATGTAAATGTTTTCTGTAAATTCACAAACAGAAGTTCATCTGAAAGTAACACTCTGTACCATAATAATCCAAGCATATACCACAGGTTGTTTTTTTGCAGAATTCTTGTTCTTCTTGTTCCATTATCTTCTCTATTGGTATCATTATCATTATTATTATTACTTTGATATTATCATTATTATTACCTGGTTGTTTTCCATGTAGACTTGAGAGCTCCTGCACCAGAGACAAATTCCTTGTATATCTAATCACATTTGTTCTATTCCAGTGGTCCCCAACCCCGGTCCGCGGACCGGTGCCAGGCCGTGGAGTACTGGCACCGGGCCGCGCAGCGGCCGGGGGACAGGAACGCTGCAGCGCAAAGGCTCCTGGGCCGTGCGCAATGGGCCTGCGCAAAAGCTCCTGGGCGTGCCCCCACCCCTGCGCGCGCTCAGCGGGCCGCGGCGATAAAAAGGTTGGGACCACTGTTCTATTCTATTCTATTCTATTCTATTTCCCATTCTCTCTCCTTTCCTCTATTCTATTCTATTTTTCTATTCTATTCTATTCTATTCTATTCTATTCTATTCTATTCTATTCTATTTTACCATTCTCTCTCCTTTCCTCTATTCTATTCTATTCTATTCTATTCTATTCTATTCTATTCTATTCTATTCTATTCTATTCTATTCTATTCTATTCTCTCTCCTTTATTCTATTCTATTCTATTCTATTCTATTCTATTCTATTCTATTCTATTCTATCCTATCCTATCCTATCCTATCCTATCCTATCCTATCCTATCCTATTCTATTTATTCTATTCTATTCTATTCTATTCTCTCTCCTTTCCTCTATTCTATTCTATTCTATTCTATTCTATTCTATTCTATTCTATTCTATTCTATTCTATTCTATTCTATTCTATTCTATTCTATTGAAAACAGACCAGTAAATTATTAATATTCAGAAGTCTGAAATGCCTTATGATGCTTAAGGCAACGTTTAAAAAATGTTGCAACCCACCCCCTCCCTTTTAAATTGCCACAAACGCACAATTTGAGAACCTCCACACGATTGGGTTGCTCGTTTCCAAGAGGCTGGAAAAACATCGTGAAACTCAAACCCGCTACCCATATTTGTACTCATCATGGTGGGGTGGGGTGGGGGGTGGGAATCAATGCCACATTATCCAAAGCATTGTGAATACCCAAGAGGAAGAAAACGGCTCAGTAGCAAAGAACAAAAAAGCACGAAAACAGCAGTATTGAGAGGGAGGGGAAATGAAAATTTAATTTGAAAATTAGCCAGGCAGCTAAAGCACCGTAGGCATCCGAATTCCCACCGCAAAGCGGGAGGAAATCTCGCCCACTCCCTGGACAGGCTTATTCAAACAAACCATAGCTATGAGGTGCATCTTATGCATATTTAAACCCAGCTGGAGTTAAATCAATAATAGTTGGAGCGGCTTAGCTTCATTCTTGAAATGCCGCAAATGAATGGAATATACAGCCAGATTTTAAGAAAGGGTCTCTGGCACTGGGTAAAGAAGGAAAAAAATTCAATGTACTCATTGGAGTGTGGTAAGCAGTGGTGGGTTCCTCCCGGTTCGGTCCGGTTCGGCCGAGCCGGTAGCGGTGACGATATGACGTCACCGAACCGGTTCTCCCCCCCGCCCCCCCCCGCCCCCCACATTATTTTACCTTTTATTTGGTCCCCCCCCAATCTATTGCTGCCTCCTGAGTCCCAGCTGATGACTAGAGGGGAAAAAACTGTTTAAACTCTTGCCGGGGCTTCAAAGGGCCGTCCTACAGCTGATCAGTATTAAAAGCAAACTAATGAGTCGGGTCGTAAGTGCGAGGACTGGTTGTAAGTGCGAGGACCTTCCAGAAATGACTCTGACCAGCTAGCCATGCCCACCTAGTCACATGACCTCAAAGCCACACCCACAAAATAAGCCATGCCCACAGAACCGGTAGTAAAAAAAAATTAGAACCCACCCCTGGTGGTAAGGTGTATCATATTACATATTACATATTAACAGAGTTGGAAGGGACCTTGGAGGTCATCTAGACCAACCCACTGCCCAAGCAGGAGACCCAACACCATTTCTGATAGATGGCAATCCAATCTCTTCTTGAAAGCCTCCAGCGATGAAGCTCCCACAACTTCTGAAGGCAACTTCTGTTCCATTGGTTGATTGTTCTCACTGTCAGAAAGTTTCTCCTTACTTCCAGTTTCCATCCATTATTCCTTGTCTGGCCTTCAGGTGCCTTAGAAAATAGCTTGATGCCCTCCTCTCTGTGGCAGCCCCTCAAATATTGGAAGACTGCTATCATGTCTCCCCTGGTCCTTCTTTTCACTAGACTAGCCATGCCCAGTTCCTGCAACCGTTCTTCATTTTTAGTCTCTAATTCCCTAATCATGAAATGTAGAATAATAGGGTTGGACAGCACCTTGGAGATCTTCTAGTCCAACCCCCTGTTTGAGCAGGAGAGCCTAAACCTCCAGGGATGGAGACAGAGGTGGTATTCAGCTGGTTCGTACCGGTTCGTGTGAACCGTTGGCGGAAATTTGGCCAAGGTCACGGAACTTGAGGACCCAGTTTGTGGGGGCAATAAGCTGACTTTGTATAAATATACAAAAATATGAAGGCTATTGCTTAACGCACTGTAAGCCGCCCTAAGTCTCCGGAGAAGGGCGGCATATAAATCAAATTAAAAAAAAAATCTGGTAGCGATGGTCGGCTGGCCACGCCCCAAAACTGGCCCCCCGGTCGCCGCTTGGTCGCCTCGCCCGCCATGTTTGTTGCTGCCATGTTCTGCGGAATGCAAGGATTTATATTCCTTGCAGACAGCTGGTCATTTGCATCCTTTTAGTGGATTGTTGAAGTACTTGGAGGTTTATCTATGTCCTCAGGGGCACCTGAGTGGTGCTCCTGGTTCCTGTAGTCTGCAATTTTTTCTCTGGAAATCCATTCCTACTCCCACACCATTCCAAGGGGGTTCATCCCAAATTCCCTAAACCTCCAAGTGCTTCAACGACCCTCTAAAAGGATGCAAATGACCAGCTGTCTGCAAGGAGTATAAATCCTTCCATTTCCCCACTATCCTGTCAGAGCTGAAGAAGCTTCTTGGATGAGAAGTGAAACATCTTCGAAAGAAAAAAAAAAAAACCAAGAAAGTCCAGTTGCCTCCTGAATAAAATCACCTTTGGGACATAAGCCTGAAAAAGGGTCATAAGT